TATTAAGTGTGGCATTATTTTATTGATATGACAATAAATATACTTATCTACAAGAATAGGTATTTATTTTTAAATGACCATTTTAGATTAATTATCAATTATTTTAACTGATTGCCTATTTTTATTAATTTGTAAAATCGTTATTATAAATTAAGTATTTTGTATACAAAATTACTATGATTATAATAAAATATATACATATATTATACGTATATTAATATATTATATATATTATAGATACTATGGAGTTTCGAGGTATTTATAGTAGCTGTAATTTTAACCAGTATGTTATGTACCTACTAGGTACCTGAAAATTTTTCACTTTAAATATATTATTTATTTTTAAAACAATTCAACTGAATGAATATAATTTTATTTTATTTCAACACTAAATTTCTAACTCTGTAATATGACAAATCACCTTATTTTTGTAAACTCTCATAACTTTATTTGGAGTAAATAATACTTTATAATGAATATTTTTTCTTTTGTAACTTGTTTTATTATTGTTTTTTTATCAAAACATTATTTTAGTTAAAAAATAATTTTAATTTTACTTCCTTTGATTATCTCTTAAACTTTTTGTTCTTTTCAAACAAAAAATAAAAAAAAATCTTATTCGGAAACATTAAAATTACAATAGAAACAACGGAGATAATAAATATAATTTTTGCGTATATTTACATATTATTTAATTATTCTACAGTCACAAAATAATTTAATTGCAATAACGTTACACGCAATGATCAATAATTGAATACTAAAGCAATAATGTTTAAAATAATATGTGTATATACATTATAAACATTATTCTCTGACGTTATAATGAATTTATTATTTTCAAAAGACTTATATCATTAACTTCTAAATACGAAAGTATTAAGAAATAAGTATAAAACAAGTTTTTCTCATTAACTTTTGTTTAGAATGTTACTTATACTATACTGTCACTAATCTGCAAGTATATATCATATTATGCACCACTGCACCTATTTCATCTACATACTGAAAAGGTTAACATGTATAAGACATAATACTATCACTTCATATAAAAAAGTGCTCTTTGTGTAATTTATCATTCGAGTGTTAAACATTGAATGTAATATTTAATTTAAAAATAATCTTATTAGTTATTATAGTGTACATTGTTTAACATATTTCTTACGTGTGAAATATGTAAATAGTGTTTTGTATCATCACTTGAAATTGGATTTAAAGATGAAATGCGTACCTACCTACGAATTACGGCCAATACCCTTATCATTAAATAACCATTGCATTTTAAAGAAATATAAATGATCGTCCCACTCATAAGCAATAAAAATACTAAACGAAAAATCTCCTTCGCATTCAGTTTCTCTCTAATAAAAAAATAATATTTTATATTAATTGTGGCTTGGTATAAAGAATGACATCATGGGCTTAATGGAAACAAAAAATGGTCGTGTCAACTTTACCGAAGGTAAACATGCTGAAGTAGTATAAAATATTATACCGTTGGTGATTTTATATTTATGCAATTGTTTAAGATGGTCTTACAGTATTTTTGATGAAAGAAAATATAACACACAATCGATACGTCATACAACAATAACAAATGCAATCATTTCAATATTTATATTCATACGTAAATATTTGTATATGTGTTTGGTAGTTTTTCGTCTTTATACTTTATGTAATTTAATTATTAATTGGTTTTCGGCACTATAATTTTAATTAAGTTTTACTCGTTTCACAATACATATTGTACTAAAAGTCGATTTTTTTTCACTAAAAATTAATTATGGGATCGTGACCATGTACATTTTTAAAATAATTTAATTTCTTTTCTCATAGCATTAATTTAAATTGACTAAAAATTGCTCTTTTATATTGCTCTTAATAATAATTAAGTCTTCTATTATTATTAAAAAAAAGTTTGGATTATCAATCTTCCATTACACTTTTATACAAATACTTAACCGAAACTTCAATAACATCAGAGACCGATTAATTGTCAATTTTTTTTTTAAATTTATATTTTACGAAAGCTATTAAAATATACGTATAATATTTATATAGATTTTACTTTTATAGAACTAATATTAAAATATGAATTTAATTATAAATATCGACTTTATTTATATTATATCATTGTGGGAAGTACATGAAATTATCAATGTATTTTTTCTTCCGTAATACAGCATGTAATATAAAATATTAAAAATATGTTTACAATGTTAAATTAATTGGTAACCAACCCAACTTTTTTTTTGTTCCAAGAAATCTAAATGCTAGTTAATATTAATTTATTTTATCTAAATTTAAATATTCTGTACTTTTATCGTAAAAATATGCATTTAAATTCATCAAAGTTTTTTTTAGGGCCCTTCGATAACAAATATATGCTACCAAGCCAAATGGCATTTATTTTGATGATTGTATACAATTCATAACATATAAAAGGTTTTCTGAATAATATTATTTTAAAAAGTATTTGTATATCCGTAACTACATGTATTTCTCAATATGCTTAGATTAAAGTATCATCACATTAATTATAATTTTTTAACAAGATCACATATTTAGTAAGTACTAGTTATGTCTTCGTGTTTATTTTTCTTCATGCTTACAATCAACTATACGATTAAAAAAAAAGGGGGGCATGTTTTATTTACTCTGTATATAATTCACAATAATATGTATATTTTAGTATATCTTTAATTCGAAGTAAATACTTTCAATGACATATTATATTATTATATTAATTATATGTATGTACATGCTATATAGATTTTAAAATCGTATGAGAAGAATTACTATAGATTGTTTTTGATTATATCATATAAATAGAACATTTGTATTTGCACAAAAAATATTTTAAAATTTAGTTGTATATGAATTAAACCTACCTTGTAACATTTTATGCTATGAAATTTATAAATGAGATATTAATTGAAATTAATGATCATAGGGTCAAAACATAATTAATTATTTAAAACCATACTAACCATTTATGAATAAAAAAGAACAAAGTTTATACTTATCAAACAGTTTTGAAAAAAATAAATAAATTGAAATTATGTATGTTAATCCGTATGTTCCAGTTTTATATTTTAGTTAGTTTTATAAAATTATAAGTTATTAAGTTAATTTAAACAAATTTACTTTGAACAAACACGTACTTAGTGTCCATCATAGATAAAGGTCAAAATATTAAATAGGCAAAAGTCTACAACACTTGTACTAATAGCATATCTGCTGTGAATTGTGATACATTAGTGACATTTTTCGTTTATTGCTTAAGATTATTAATAAGTTAAAATAGATGAAATATAAAATTATTTTAAAGGTATATAATTAAACATAAGTCATTTCGACATAAATACATTATAATAGATACTTATGTAAAAAAATATGTCATGTTACTGGATGTATGATATTAACGTTTTAGAGCATTAATAGTATTAATACACATGTTTATCCTGTCTGTTTAAAATAATTAAAATAAAGCTACGAATAAAAATAGTCCCAGAAATATTTAATTTAATTTTAGTAACATTTCATTATAAAATATATAGTTGAATAGTCCACTCTTTACCTTTTCTTCTTAAGATATTATTAATACTATGTTGTTCCTAGTAATCTAATAAAGCAAAAATCATTCGTTTAAATGTTTAAAATTATAAACGTAAAATTCAACATTTGGATTTACATACGATGTGGATGTGGATACAACACCAATATTCTATTCAAGTCAAAACTCGATTATAGATCATACGAGTTAGATTTCTAATATTTCTGTGTTGTCTCTGTAAATCGCGCATGCATAATGTACCTATATTGTAACTTAATATTATTATAATTCCATTTTATTATTATTATTATTATTATTTTAATGATTTAGATGTTTACAAATTTAGTTAAATGTCGTCGAATGTGCAACGTTTATCTAAATAGTTAATTTTCATGATAGTAAAAATATTATTCGGACCGTCAGAAACTCATAATATTGGGTTTTTGGTTAACGATTAAGCGACACGCGACGTATATCGGATGACACGTTGAATGAATTACAGATATGTGGAGATCGTGAAGTCGAAACGTTCTTATGAACGACGCCGTATCGGTGGTTATTGCAACACGAACACTTGTTGAACGTCTCATTAGTGCATTAGATACTATTTATATTCATCTTAAAACCGGATCGGAGTGTGTGGGTGGCAATCAGTGATTGGAAACTGTTGTAGAATCGCGTAGATCAGAATTGCAAAATCCGACGAATTTTGCGATTGTGTGTGTGTGTGTGTGTGTGTGTACACGACTACACGCGTTAATAAATGAAAAACAGAGTAAATCGATTTATCTCGATTTTGATATTTAGTTTAACGCGCAGTTTTTATAATGTCACACTCTTGTAATGTCGCTGTACTTGTCTATATATTATGACTACTTTAAACGAATTGATTTCGCGAACTCGCCGTCCGAATTTTCCGAAAACACGCGATACTCCGATGCGCGCATTATCCGCACGGTATATCTACGACCGGATACGATGATAGGTGCCCAAATCAAATACGCGTGTCAAACCGCCCCGTCGGCGTTCCGTTTGGGACCGCCGTCGGGTGTGGAACATATTATTATTACGCGTACGCGGTGACAAGGGGTAGGCTCTCGCGCGAGACGTCTCGCGATGACGGATTAGTGGGCGGCGGCGGCGGGTCCGCGACAGGTGAGAAGAAGGAAAACGGATTTTTTTCGTTTCCGTAATAGTTCCCAAGCGTGTGTCGGATGTCGACGACACTCGGGGTGCAGCCGCGCCGAGGGACGGTGTGAGCGACTGGTGAGACGGCGGAGGAGGTCGGTATGGCGCGCGGCGGTGGAGGCACGTACGGGACCGCGTGCTCAGCTCCGGCGGGCGGCGGCGTCGGCGGCGGCGGCGGCGGGTCTCGCGTGTGCGTATGTGTATGTGTGCGGTGCGTGTGTGTATCGGTCGGCTCTCAGTTGCCGGCAAACTATCGACGTGTTGTATTGTGGTAACGCCGTGTACTGCGCAGCCCGCCGCGTATCGTCGTCGAAGTCTTCGAAGTCGTCGTCGTTACCGTCGTTTTCGTCGTCGTCGTCTCCGCGGTGTCCTCTACTCGCTCATCCCCCCAAACGCGCCCCCTCGTTTCTGTCCGCGTCCCCGATCGCCGCCCCGAAGTTTTCCCGTGAACTCTTTCAAAACGCATACATAACGCAGTCGCTTGTCCATCGCGCAAGCGCGGACCTCCGAAAAGACGTCGCGTGCGGAGGAATAACGTCTTCGGTCACCCGCCGCCGCCGACGCCACATCTACCTCCTCCGCCGGCGCTGCACACCGTCGCCACCGAATTCACCGCCTCCGCCGGCCGGCCGGCCAACACGTGGTCTCCGGCGCACGTGCACCGCCGCCGCCGAGACATGGCGTAAGTCACATGTCTTGACGTATCGTTAAACTACTGTTGTCTCTGCATAGATCAAAGGATTTTGTCCCACCGTCGTACACCCGGTCAAGTCCAGGTCGATGCGTACGACGGCTGTTGTGGTGTTCGCACTTTGTACCACGCGATTCGTTTTTTTCGTACATTTCGTAGAATTTAACTATGGGCATAAGACTAAAGATCTGGCCTTCCTGCCCTAAGTTCACGTTAGTGCGGTACACAGCGTTTCTAGTTATTCCGAAGTATTTTTTTTTTTTTTTTTTATATTTTGCGAGGTTAACTTTGGCTGTTAGTGTTTTTGAGTAGCAAACACGTATTCCATAAGTAAGCGGTCGAAGACCTGTGTTTAATATTCGGTTACACGATGAACATTATATTCCTATTGTTGATCTACTTATTAGTTTATTATACGTCGGTTATTCGTATTTCCTTTCATAATTTTATCGCCGTTAAAATCGGTAGTCGATTTTTTTTTTTTTTTTTTAGTTATTTATGGCTGTTATTATATTGTCGTATGTTCTATTTTACGCATAATCTTCGATCGTTAAAGAGTGACTAAGAATATTTCACGGAGTAACGATTTTTTCTAGTTAAATCTGCAGTTGGAATTTGATAAAATGTCTAGAATTAATTTTTTTATTTGGCTAGACTTTTATTTAATCACGCTGAGACGAACAGTGTAATTCTTTAAAAATGACATGGTTTTATATTGTTTTACCGTATAATGCCAAGTACATCACCCCACGTATTGCTATAAATTAATGTGACACAAATGTATATAATGTATCATGACTTATACTTATAGTTTATCTTTTTCGAAGAATCTCGCCCTAGACTTGCGTCTTCGTCACGCGACATTTATGCACGCACACGTACAGCACAGGTACATAATATAATTATTATTGTGTGTGTGTATGTATGTATGATACTATATACATCCTTTTACCGACACTTTGTCTTTTCAATCTTTGTAGTAAATTGGTACTATGTTTGTCCCATAGTAAACAATAAAGTTTATTATTTCCTCGTATGCCAGACGTACACTTTATATTTTCCTCTCCACAGTAAGTACTAAGAATATAATATTATGGCATTTTTTACGACGTACTCGAATATCTGATTTTCCAGGGGTTTTTTGTACTTTACATATTTTTTTTTATTATTGACAGAATAAACGTCTACAGTATCGATTTTACTATAACTACGAACATTTAAGCGGTACATAGTAACTTGAAGGAGTCTTACTGAATCTTCAATATAGTTCCCGAAGATAAAATATATACGAGGCGTACCAATTATTTATTAAGTTGGATGATTCAATTATAAACATAATATTTCATGACAAACATTTCGAATTTGAATTTACACGCATCTTATGAAATCATTTTTATTCTATTAATCATATAAACAAAACATAATATGAAAACTATAAATTATAGTCAAGAGACATTAATATACAACTTGTCTGCAGTTTGCATAACTTATTTCTAAACGGGAAAAATTACACCTATCTTCTCGTCTTTTTTGAATTTTATATATATAACTCTAAACGTCAGAATACTACCAACGGCGTTATGAAATATTCATTAAAACGTAATATTTCTATACTAAAATAACAGTTACTTAAATACTGACATATATTCAAATATATGAAATTATGATTTATAGAAATATTCAAGAGAAATAAATCTAATGTCTTACAATGAAAATATTTGTAAGACAATATAAACTCAAAAGCATTTATCGTGTTCAATTTTTAAACTACAACAGTTCAAGCTGAAAATTAAATAATGCCCATTATAAATTATAACATAACATGTTGACTTTAGTTTATTATTATATGAATAAGTTTAAACTTAAAATACTTGTTTTTAGTCAGTAAAAGTTATTTGTGTGTGCTATATTGTATGTATTTTTATTTAAGACTTTAAGTAACTATAAGATTATTCGTGACTAAACAAAATGAAATCTTTAAAAAAGCAGACGTTAATGATTTACTATGTAATGCAAAGATATCTACCATGTTGTTAGGCTTTTAGGTAAAAATACATGAAAAAATATCCTTTGATGATTATATTTTAGAACCTGATATTGACATGTTAAGATATTGAAAAACGTGCGTAAGTAAAAGTTAATATTATCATTAATAATTAATTACTAACGTAAAAAAATTTTTGTTTTTGAAGGAATCTCGGTAATTGCATATTCTGTGTAATTGAATATTATTATAATTTATTTCTTGATTCTACCTTAAAGAAATTTGAACTGTTAGTAAAACATTCGTACATCGTTTATCTTTATTGTAGCTGAGTTTACCTCTCTAACATAAAAGTTTTAACAATTATAAATTATGTAATACTTTAATGATCTGGTTTAACCTTCTACGCATAAATATTTCTCTTTTGATGGTTAAATAATTTTTATATTGAATGAGTATATTTTTAGTACGCATGCTAATAATATTATTCATATCGCTTAAAATTAATTATACTCACAGCATAGGCAAAAAGAAATACTATTTTTATATCAAGTTCCGTTTCATATTAGTGGTATGACAGACTCGAGAGTATGCAATTATACTGTTAAATGCATTAATTTCATAATAAATTCTTTCATAACCTTGAGACTAAATTATTATATTTATATTATTTTAGCTTAATTTAAAATTTAATATACAGATCATATTGTACATTGAAGGCACACACACACACACACACACATATATATATATTTATATTTATTAATTAATCAGGTAATGATTAATGTTATTTACTCCAATGTCAATAACACGATATATCTTACATTTTTATTAGTGTTTACATTTTATTCTTTGTGTCAAAATTTTTAAATTGAATTTGAAATATTACAAACGTAGGACATACTATATAGCTTTGTTGCCACGTTATTTATTAACTCGCAATTTATTGGTCGGTTGTCAGATATAACATAGACTATAAATATATATATATATATATATATATATATATATATATGTGTGTGTGTGTGTGTGTGTTGTACGTATATCTTGGTCTTGGTATCTTTTTAATATGTAAAAATAAATCACTAGAATACTTGTGGGTGCTTAGAAAATAGTTTTCTTTTTTTTTAAATGTCAACAGATACAAGGTTACTATAAAGGTCGTAAAAGCTTCGTGAATGAAATAAAATGCATTATTTTTTTTGAAAAAGCTCGTATATCTGAAATACAATAATCACTAATATGTTATAATACGACATACCTTAAAAATTTGATATTCTATTGTTTCTATATTCGTACTTTTCGATATTACGTGACTTATAAAAATATTGATACTCTTGATATTTTTTTATAATAACTCAAATATGATAAACGATTATAATTAATACATATTTTACGTTATAAGTATATAATATAAATGCTAATTAAAACAATAATGCTCATGCTGGATAAAATTGGAGTTAAATTTTATTAAATTGCATAAAAATAAATTTCCAACTTTTTATTTCCAATCATATTATTATGTCTTACGTCAAATTAAAAATCAATTTGCAGGTAAATTACATCCTAAAGTATTAAAATAAGTTTCTACGTAAAGTATTATTTTCTTTAGTAAAATGTATTTTTATACATAATATTATGCTTTTTTCAAAAGATATTAACAAACTATATAAACTACAAATTTGATAAATATTTTCTTCTTTTATCGTTGGAATTTTTTAATACCTGACCAGTAATAATAGGTAGACATTTTTATATTTCTTTTCTCAACTAAATAATTTTTTATTTCATATTTTCATAAATGTTATTATTTACATGTATTTATATATTAATATTATATAATTCCATAGGTACCCAAAAAACCATTTTATTATGCTAAGCTGATTGTTTAATAAATAAACCTAGTTCAATAAACTTAAATATTATAGTCATAGATAAGTAATTTAAATAGCTTATAAAATAAGTAAAAATAAGAGCAATAATTGGATAATTATCAACTCTTAAGAATTAACATTAGACAGTTATACTTATTGCATCTAGTTTTTTATAAGTCAAAAAAAGTTTCACATTACTTTGCATACAAATCGAGTACAGTAATTTGCAATATTTCTATATCATTATAAAAATACAAACATTTATACAACACTAAAACATTTAGAATTCAAATTATTCAATTCTTTATGGTTTAAATTTTAATTTATTTATTGAATATTAATTTAAAACAACATGTAGTCCACATGTAGCTATGAATTTCATTAAATATACCTACTATGTTATTACAGCTTAAGGCTTACTTAAATAAACTATCAACCATTACAAAATGAATTTTTATTTAATAATTTCATAGACTCTATTCTACAGTATGTTTTTTCATAAATCAACTGAAGTTTCCTTTATGTTTAGTATCAACACATTTTAAATAATATATTTTTATTTATTTAAAAAATTACAATCAGTTTCATGATATAACATTCTACTATAATATTGTGAATAAAATAAATTGCATAATTATTTATTACTATCGACTTAATATAAAAACTTAATTAATTTTACAATGACTTGTAATCATTAATACGCGTTACAAATATTATTCAAATCTTGTACAACACTACCACCACTGTTTGCAAAACGTTAAAATACTATTATTTTGACAAGACAATAAAATATTTACACCTTACTCATTTCCTAAAAAGGGTTTGATACATCAATCGATTTTTTTTTATTATTTTAATTTAATTAAAAAATATCCTGTATAGATTTATTGTCTAAAAGTATTTGAAAAAAAAAAATCAATAACTGATTAATATTTATGGTTATTTTTTCCTTGACCGTGTTATGAAAAAAAAAAAAATAATAATATCGGTTTTAAAGCATTTTCTATTTGAATGTATATTAAGTACAAAAAAATAAATAAACGTTAATATTATGAACATTATTGAACAACGCTGTTGACCCCAACGTGTGTAGTAAAAATGCCCGAGGTTACCCATGTCAGTGAAGTTTATGA